AGTAACAGTCAACACAAGACTTACCATAAGCTGTGTAGTGTTGATAGTAACAGTCAACACAAGACTTACCATAAGCTGTGTAGTGTTGATAGTAACAGTCAACACAAGACTTACCATATTACTACAAGCTGTGTAGTGTTGATAGTAACAGTCAACACAAGACTTACCATATTACTACAAGCTGTGTAGTGTTGATAGTAACAGTCAACACAAGACTTACCATATTACTATAAGCTGTGTAGTGTTGATAGTAACAGTCAACATAAAATTCATCACATTGAAAATAATTTGTCTACACTGTATAACTATTCTCTGTTTCAACACACACATCGTGACGTAAAGAAGTCTAACTTACGGTTTAGAACTCTTGTTATTTGTTGTTTGCTTCATTATTTGACAGTACACCTCATCCCTCAGAGGAGGATGTTTATGGCAGTTCTGGTGAAAGAAATATCAGAATGAAGGAACAACAGATCCCACATAAAGGGACACACTGAAAACTGATACTTGAGATAAGTGTTTGTGGAAACCTAACATAACCCTGAACTTTGATTTTGGTCACAATAACACTTTGTATTTAGATTTTTTAAAACACAAATACTTCAACAACTATTAAAATTAACACACTTTAAATGTGTTAAGTTTATTCTAAGTTATTCAGCAAATGAGTACAACAACCAAATTAAACTTTCAAGATATGTTAATTTTAAGTAATTCAGTATGCAAATACAACACCTAACTTAAACAATCAAAATGTGTTAAGTTAACCCTAAGTCATTCAGCAAGTAACCTGTAGCATTACTTCAATCAATCAAAATGTGTTAAGTTAACCCTAAGTCATTCAGCAAGTAACCTGTAGTATTACTCCAATTTACCTGAAGGATGCTATAAACACAATCAACTTCAGTTTGATTCTTCATTAGAGGGTAGTCTCCCATGTACCTCATAACCGCTGAAAAAATGTGGACACATTCATAACTAAAGCTCTCTTACTTACACAAAAATTAAATAAAATGTTACACATAGCTTCTGCATTTTCTTTTCTAGGACTGTGGTTTTATCTTTACATATAATAGTCAACTTCTATATATTATGGGTATGAAACTTTAAAAAAAAAACATTAATTTTACAAACAGTTCTTTTGTTAAGAAGTCTTTCAGTTGGTTTACATACACTTTTAGTTCCATTGTTACATAATAAATCCTTTCAGTTGGTTTACATACACCTTTAGTTCCATTGTTACATAATAAATCCTTTCAGTTGGTTTACATACACCTTTAGTTCCATTGTTACATAATAAACCAACTGAAAGGATTTACAAACACCTTTAGTTCCAATGTTGTATAACAAGTTTGAGTTGTTTTCATATGCCTTTCGATTGATTTACACACACCTTTAATTATATTAAGCCTAGTAAGACCAACTACTCTCCTACATTAATTCTTACCTACAAAACTCTCAAGGGCTAGTTTGTTTAACTCGCTGGTTTCAAGTTTTAACAAAGATGCCTGAATGGGTGACTGAAAGACAGAAAGAAAAACGTTGACAGATTTTGCTTATTATAAAGGTTAGTGACTTTGCTTGAAAACAACCGTCTATGCTTAGCTTTATATCTTTACGGATCATTGATACATGAAAGATTATTTTGTGTATCATGCTACAAAACATTGAAACTCTATTCACTTAGATCTACGAGATTAAAACTGAGTTTGGAATTTTTACAATCTTTTAGACATTGTAAGGCATCTGGAATAAGTAATTTATTGTACATGTTTACAATGATATATTGAGACTTTTAAATCAAGTACACTATCAAATATTTTTAGGCTAAAAGTTTCCCAACTGAACTAATGGCATTTTGTGTACACACTTGTTAGTACACTAACAAATATATTAAAACTTTACGACGTTGTTGAAGAGAGATGTCATTTTAAGATGAGGACAAAGGAAAAAGACCAGCAAGAATAAAATGCCAAATAAAAAAAAGCTACTTAATGTGGTTTTTGATTCTTAAATTTTAGCAGCATTTGTAAAAGATTTTCAAAGCTACAAAAAAAAAAAATCAAGACCAAATGAGTTAAGCAAAATATAATGATTGCATACACACAATGTCCGACGTTGGGGGACAGTCTGATCACAGTGTCCGACGTTGGGGGACAATCTGATCACAGTGTCCGACGTTGGGGGACAATCTGATCACAGTACTGGATGTCAAAGATCAATCAAAAACAGCATCACATAACAAAGGTCTGACTAAATATAATGTTAGGTGATAAAGATCATGTGAAAATGGAAAGATCAGATGAAGGGAAAAGGTAATTCACTAAATGTACGCAAGAAAAGAAAGAATGAAAAAATAGATGACTTCAGCAATAAGGTGGAACCAACCTTTTAGGTTTTAAATGAAAAACGGTTTCACATAACAAAAATCAAAAACTATGTCCAATTATAAGTCTCCTAAATGTGGAGACAAATTATAATAGTGTTGTAGATAAGTTGTTTTAAGTTGTATTTTACATATTATTACAGGTCTTTTAAAATGATCAGAAAGTCTTAAAATGTTATTTTGCTGCCATGCGTATATTTAGTTAAGTATTTATAGTATTAACATGTATCTTCCATACAGTTCTTTGACATTTAAAATCAAACAAGTCTAAGTGGATGAAACCGATAATCTTGCAGGGAAACCCACGTAAAACCCGTACAGTTTTATCTATTTACATATGTGCGTGCTATTATTCAAATATCTGACACTTTATAGCCAATGTAAGGAGTTACTTTTATCTGTTTCACTTTGAGTTGTTTAATTTTTATCTAAAGATGTCTCTTACCTTGGAAAACTTTACCAGATCTGCAATTTCTCTCCATGTCCAATCACTGTCCTTCTGTTTCTTTCCCTTCTTCTTGCTCTTTATACTTTCAATGAGTTTGACTGAACCACGGATAGAACCATCTTTTGTCTTCAACATTTCATACCTAGAGACATCAAGTTTTAATATTTTCAATGAGTTTGACTGAACCACGGATAGAACCATCTTTTGTCTTCAACATTTCATACCTAGAGACATCAAGTTTTAATATTTTCAATGAGTTTGACTGAACCACGGATAGAACCATCTTTTGTCTTCAACA